CTCAATTAATATCTCTTATTCCTTTAGTCCTAATTCTTTAAACTAACACCCATATCTAGGGCCTATTGTTTGGTGACCTCTTTTTTTCCTGTCTACCTTCAAATCCAATTGTACAAAGGTTCCCTTTTCCCCTGTTTCTCCAAAGGAGTTCAGCAGCAGAGAGGACAAAAGAACAGTCCATTCTCTTGTACCCTGCAGTGCTAGTCACCATCATGGTTAATCTAATTGCTCTTGTGGCAACATTTAAAGGAGCCCTGGTGGCACAATGGTTAACCCTTTTGCTGCTAACCAACAGCCATTCCATGGGAGACAGATGTGGCAGTCTGCTCCCATAAAGATTACAGCCTTGGAACTATATGGAGCAATTCTACTCTGTCCTCCATGGTCACTATGAGTCAGAATTGACTCGACAGCAACAGGTTTGGTTTTTCGTTTGTGGCAACATTTCGTGGGTGAAACCCAGAACTGCTGTGGTTTGCAGCAGCAAATTTCCTCTGGGCACAGTCCTATCTCTCTCTCTCTCTCTTCACTAGAACCTTCAAGATTAATCTTTCAAGAGTTGTAGGTAAAGTGTGGTGCCAATGGCATGAATGTGGTAGGTTTGGGCCTCACCTAAAACAGTAAGCTTTGTCCTAAAACCTCACCCCACCCCGTGGCTTGGCCAGAGCCTGGCACCAGGAGATGCTCTGTAACTGCCATGTCCCCTCTGGCACTCTGGTTGTGGCCAGTGAGAACACAAGCAGTTACGTAACCACAATGACCTCGAGGCACCAACCAGCAGTGTCTTGCTGTGGTGACACTTCCCTACATCCTGAAAGAGGGACCTGCCCATTCCAGTGCTGAGTGATATCTTAGGTACAACTACAGCAAGGCTTCTGTATATGCAGGAAAATGAGTCACTGCTAAGTAAGCAAGGGATAACTTTTCGGCTTCCCTGGAAGAGATCAAACTGTTGGGGAACAAGAGCCCAAAAAGAATACAGAAACCATAGAGAACAACAGACAATAAAGGAAGAGAACACATTTTATTTGTGGTTTGTTTTTCAGGAGAAGCTGAGACTCAAACAACAGAGGTGCTATGGGTTATAAGAAGAGTTTAGTTAGGTACAAAGTAAGCCCAAAAGCAAGACAAACATTCTGGTAATCATGAAAAGAAGGCTTGTGCTCAGAGGGACAATGGGAAAGAACAGCTTGCAGAGAGCAAGCCCTGCTGGGCATGACAGGCCGCAGAGCTGGGGGGGTGGGTCTCAGGGGGCTGTGTCTCCAAGGTGACCTCTGTGTACTACTCCACACCCTTGAAATCAATCCCTTACCTTTTTATAGTTGAAACTTTTGGATATCCTCATCCTTTCAACAAAGTAATTTTTTGTTGCAGTAAATAATAATGGCCTAAGAGTGAGTTGCTAAGAAAACACCTTAAACAAAGAGCAATAAAGGAAAGCAGATGGAGGAATATATTTCTAAAATTGCGTTCGAACTGGTCTATTCCTTGTAAAAACTGCTTGTATCAAATACTGAGTAGCTACAAAGGAATGCTTACAAAATACATGCAAATTACAAGGCGTAAAAATATAATAAAGATCCCCGCGCACTCATGACACGGTTTAAGAATTCTTTTTTGAATATCTCTAGGAATGAACATTCTAGAGCCTCTCCTATTACCCATTTCAATATTTAACAATCTTAAACATTCTAAACACACACAAAATTCTCCTATATTGTTGTTAGAGGCCATCGAATCAATTTTCAACCCATAGCGACAATATATTTCAGAGTAGAACTGCCCCACAGGGTTTCCTAGGCCGAAATATTTAAGGTAGTAGATAGCCAGGTCTTTCTCCTGTGGAGTGGCTGGTGGGTTTGAACCGCTGAGCAATTAACCACTGCACCAAACTAACTAAAACTGTTACGAATGGGATGTCAGCCCATCTATTATTGCTATGTGAAAGCCCAGAGGACTTAATATCTATAGGAGAAGAGCCTTCCCCCCAAGTCTGTATTTCTGCATGGAAGCCTGAGCTGGCTTTGAGTCTCTGCTGTGGCCAGTCCAGTGGCACCCTGGCCGTGCACTGGCAGCCCCAGCCCTCACCTATGCAGCCCTCACCTGTGCTCCTGCGTGGTGTACTTGAGCAGCTCAGCCAGCTGCAGGGGGTACTTGCAGATCTTCTGCACAGGCGTCAGCAGGAAGCCATCGATGGCAATGTCGATCATCTGCTGGAGCAGGCGGCAGGCCTCGAAGAAGTGCCGGTACTTGCCCTGCTTCATGAGGTTGGCAAGCTCCAGGCAGGCGCCGGGGTGGTTGTTACAGTACTCAGAGTAGATGGCAAAGCCCTCTTGCTGTGAAGGGAAAGCAGAACGCAATCAGGGCATGTGGGACTCTGGGTCACGGCAAGGACATGCACAAGCCCAGCCCCACCCAAGGGACCATCTCAGGGAAGAAGAGTGAGGCGCCAAGGCAACAAGAACAGGCGTGGCAGCCGACGGCAACCCCAGTCGCTCTGCATTTCTTTTCCTGCATAAACAGTAAGTCCACATCTCTGTAGAGAGGGGCACTTCCAGGTCACCTCAAGGAGGGAGAGGATCTGACGGGCTTCCCAGGGAAGGGAGGAAGGAGAGGCTGTGTGGGACTCAGCACTGTGGTCCCAATCACATCTGCCTTAGCAGTCCCAAAAGGGTATGTCACAGGTACCTGGGGCATCTTCTACCCAGCTCTGCTCCAACATTAACATAGCAGAGAATATGACATATCTGACAAGGGTCTAAACTCTCAAATCTACAAAATCCTTCAATACCTCAACAACAAAAAGACATACAATCTAATTAAAAACGAGCAAAGGATATGAACAGAGACTTCACCAATGAAGACATTCAAGCGACTAACAGACACGTGAGGAAATGCTTGCGATCACTAGCCATTAGAGAAATGCATATCAAAACTACAATGAGATACCATCTCACCTTGACCATACTGGTACTAATTAAAAAACAAACAAACAAACAAATATTGGAGAGGTTCGGGGAGACTGGAATTCTTATGAACTGTTGGTGGGAATGTAAAATGGTACAATCAGTACAGAAAACAATATGACACCTCCTTAAAAAGCTAGAAATATCGAATGATACAGCAATCCCACTCCTAGGAACATATCCTAGAGAAATAAGAACCGTCACACGAATAGACACATGCATACCCCTGTTCATTGCAGCACTATTCACAACAGCAAAATGATGGAAACAACCTAAGTGTCCATCAACAGATGAATGGATAAACCAATTATGGTACATACATACAGGAGAATACTACTCAATGATAAAGAATAATGATGAATCCAGGAAACATCGCACAACATGGATGAATTTGGAGGGTATTATGTTGAGTGAAATACGTCAGTCACAAAAGGACAAATATTGTTTGAGATTACTATCATAAGAACTCAAGGAAAGATTTACACACAGGGAAAAAAAAAACATTCTTTGATGGTTATGAGAGTGGGGAGGGATGGGGAGAGGAAATCACTAACTAGATAGTAGATAAGTGTCAACTTTGGTAAAGGGAAAGACAACACACAATATAGGGGAAGTCAGCACAGCTTGACTGAGGCAAAGTCATCACAGAAGTTTCCTAGATACATCCAAACCCCCTGAGGGACCGAGATGCTGGGGCTGAAGACTGGGGACCATAGTCAGGGGGGTGGGTGCATCTAGGTCAATGAGCATAACAGTTCATAAAGAAAATGTTCCACATCCTACTTTGGTGAGTAGTGTCTGAGGTCTTAAAAGCTTGTGAGCGGCCATCTAAGATTCATCTATTGGTCCCATCATGTTCGGAGCAAAGGAGAATGAAGAAAACCCAAAACACAAGGAAAATATTAGTCCGAAGGACTAAAGGACCACATGAACCAGAGCTTCCACCAGCCTGAGACCAGAAGAACTAGATGGTACCTGGCTACCACCAACTGCTCTGACAGGGATCACAACAGAGAGTTCCAGACAGAGCAGTAGAAAAATGTAAAACAAAATTCAAATTCACAAAAAAAGACCAGACTTACTGGTCTGACAGAGACTGGAGGAACGCCCGAGACTGTGGTCCCCGGACACTCTGCTAACCCAGAAGTGAAACCACTCCCGAAGCACACTTTTCAGACAAAGATTACACAGACCTACAAAACAAACAATAACACACGTGAGTTCAATCAAATATACGAGGCCAAACAGGTAACTCCTGGCCAAAAGTAAGACGAGGAACTGGACAAATGGACACAGGGAACCTGGGGTGGAAATGGGAAGAGTGCTGTCACATTGTGGGGACTGCAACCAATGTCACAAAACAGTCTGTGTATAAATTTCTGAATGAGTAACTAACTTGAGCTGTAAACTTTCACCTAAAGCACAATAAAATTAATTAAAAGAAAAAAAGAAAAAAAAAAAACAGCAGAGAAGAGGGAGTGCTGTTCCTCAGCCCAATTCTCTCCCTTTTTTTTCACCTTCACTTTCACTGACAAACTTCTGGTCCATGACCAGGAGGCCTGGATTCACCGCCTCCACCTGCTCACAGGCTTTCTCCTCGGTGCCTGCAGCCTGGCTTCTGATACCAGCCCTGGCTCTGCTTTCCAAGGGCACTGACCACCCTCCAACCTCAAACTGAAGGCCTCATTTCAGGCCCGCTGCCATCCTTCTCTCATGACATTGCCCTTCCCCTGGCTCTGGGGTGACACTGTCCCAAACCCCCTCCATGTGGGCCGTGGGCTGCTAGCATTCAGGCGCAGCGCTTAGACCTCTGCTCCTACCACCCTCTGGGCTGCTGACTTGCCAGTGTCTGTCCCCCATCCAGGCAGTCCCTGGGAGATTCAAATGGTTAATGCGCTGACTACTAACAGAAAGGATGGAGGTTCGGGTCCACCCAGAGGCACCTTGGAAGCAAGATCTGGAAACTTACTTCCAAAAAATCAGCTGTTGAAAACCCTATGGAGCACGATTTTACTCCGACACACATGGGGTCCCACGAGTCGGAGTCGACTCAACAGAAACCGGTTTTTCACCCCGGTCCAGAGCTGCTATTTCTTTTCTCCTCTATCTTGCTTGATAGTTTATACTTGATGTGCTCAAACTCAACATGTCTAAAACCAAACTCCCATTTCCCTAGAAAACAGATTTTTGTAGCCCATCTGTTAATTTGTTGAGACTCAAAACCCTGGAGGCAGCTTTGATTATTGCGTTTCTTTGTTTCCTACGACCAGTCTTGTCAGCTTTTCTTCAAGAATACACATTTCAACAAACCCCTCTTTCTTTTTCTTATGTTTTCCAAGCTGAGGCCAACTTCATCTCCCTCTCCAACTTCATCTGTCTCTTAATCCAAAGTCTCCTGTTCTCCACAGCAAGAGTTCACCTTCCTGAGGCTTCTCTTGCAACATTTCATGACACTGCTTAGCAGCCTGACCTTATATAAATTTGGAGGCTCACCTCTTACATGGACCTTCTGCTCTGGCCAAACACATTGTTTAACCAACCCCCCCAAACATTCCCAGAGCATTTATGAGGCCGTCTATTACCACCCAAAACCTTTAGCTATTTAAAAATCTACCCACCCCAGAGGGCCAGCTCTATATAGCTAATGGGCCCGGCACACAGAAGTGCTGCTGTTACTGTTATTATTATTACTATTATTACTCCCTGACCATTTTGGCTGGAAATGGAATCTTCTTCCTCTGAAATGTATTAGTGTTAAATAACAGTCAATCGTCAGTTAAAAGAGGATTACCCCCTTCCACCCTCCAGGTTCTGCAGTAGTTACAGAGGTCAGAAGCGTGGATCCCAGAACCACACAGCCTGCACTTGAATTCAGATCTGCCGCTTACCTGTGTGTGACCCTGGCCCTTAGTTTCCTCATCTCTTAAATGAGCATAAGAATCATATCCACCTCATAGCAGTATAGGAGCTGATATAAGAAAACCCTCAAATAGTGTTTAACATGTAATAAACAATAAGTATTACCAGAAACTACTCCAAATACAATGCCCCCAGCTCTACATCTAAACTGTATAAAAGTACAATATGCTAAAAGATGGACTTGGAGTATTTAACTAAGTAAAGATCAACCATATAAACCAATCAAATTATTTTTCACAAATGACTGCTCCATTCTATGGAAAAGTAATCTAGCAAACAAACAAACAAAGGACTCCTGTTTTTAGTGGAGGAACATTACAAATACATTTTTAACTGGACATCATTAATGAAGACATAATGAGTGACATACATGTTGAAGAAAGCAGGACCCTATTTCACTTAAGTGAGGTTCCTCTTTATTGTACTGTTTCTCAAGGTCTTTCAGGAACTTTCTTTGGAACTTGTAAATATCTTCAATGTTTCCAAAAATGGTGGCTAGTTGTGCAACAGTGAACATTCCTGTGTGCTTGCGACACTGTCGAATATAGCCCTGCAAAAGAGAAAAGTAAACTTCTTTTATTAATTTGAAAATTCAAAAGGAAATTATTTATTTGAACAACACAGCTACTTGGACCCAAAGCCATGGTCTTGAAGTGGATTTTAATTGGGGAAAAATACTATTTTAACCTCTATCAGTCTCTGCTGGGATAATTACATGTCCATGACTACAATTTGCCATAAATATTTTAAAAGCAAAAGGAAAGAGGAAAAGTACATATGGAGGGACTTAAAAGTCAAAAGACCATGTAACATTTCCAGATTAAACTCATGAAACAAGTTGCTTTGTTTCAAATGCCAGATTAAAAAAAAAACTGTACTGTCCACTTTTTCTAAACTTAAGATAATCATTCTTCCATCTCTAATTCCATTTCACAGTCGAGAAAGCCTGTCCAATACAGACTGCTGTCCATTGCTGAGTAGCTAGTTCAGTGTCGCTCACTATTAATCATGGCAAAGAGCCAAGAACATCTTAGCCAAGGATTCCAGCATCACTCACCTTCTATGAGCAGCACAGATCCACAGATCTTTAATCAGAGAAATGCTAATTAATTCTCACTGCACAACATGGTTGTACTATGGCTTGGGTAGAAGTTGGTGGTATATGTAATATTGTCTTCGAATTAGCATCACGAAGTTAAATATACTAAACTGACTCTATGGTAAATACATACCACTGACTATTTGAAATGTTTTTTAACGGAAAGATGATATCATGCCATAACTAAGTATACCGGCTCTGGAGCACACTGGGTTTAAATCACAACCCCACCACTTAACTTCCCTCTGCCTCAGTTTTCTCATTTGCTATATATGCGGTAACGGGACCTGCCTAGAGTGAGTGTTGTGAGCACTGTTGTTGTTAGTTGCTGTCGAATCAGCTCTGACTCACGGCGACCCCATGTACAATAGAATGAAATGCTGCCTGGTCCTGCACCACTCTCATGATCGCCAGTCTGCTTGAGTCATTGTTGCCTTCCAACCTAGGGGGCTCATCTTCCAGCATTATATCGGACAATATTCTGTTGGGATCCTTGGAGTTTTCACTGACTAATTTTCAGAAATAGATCACCAGGCCTTTCTTCCTACTTTGCCTTGTCTGGAAGGTATGCTGAAACCTGTTCACCACGGATGACCCTGATGGTATGTGAAATATCGGCGACACAGCTTCCAGTATCACAGCAACATGCAAGCCCCCAGAGAATGACAAACTGACAGATGGGTGGTGGGCTGTGAGCATTAGATGGCTGGTGGGCTGTGAGCATTAGATGGCTGGTAGGCTGTGAGCATTAGACGGATGAATCCACGTGAAGGGATGATGCAGAGTCAGTGCTCAATAGTTACTGGCAGTTACGAGTATTTTCCAAAAACACTACCTTAAAGTAACTTCCTTAATCACATATTTATACAGAATAAGATGGTTAGCACAAATAAGCTAAACACTGGAATGCCTCTAATGAGTCAGTTAATCTAATTACAGAACAGCCAGTTCTCTCAGTTCAGCTTGTCTTCAGAGCTGAACTGTCCTGACTGAACTGACACTGCCAAGATCAGCATTTACAGTGAAGATGGATGGAATGATCAGACTGGCCAAGCGACCATTTAGTGTAATGCTCATACATAATCCATAAAAAGGAAAACTATCATGGGAGGACAAAATCTCTCACATAGTTTACTAATGGCCAACTGTCTGTGATCAGGAATAGAACAAGACTACAAAACAATTGACTGCAGAGTAGAATATCATGATGTTATGGAGAACAGTCTTGCTGTAACTGATAAAACTAAGTATTCTGCCAATCTCTAAATACTGACTGCAGTCACTCAGAATCATGTCTGTGAGTCAGATGATTAGAGGCAGTGGAGCTGTAGATACTGAGAGACCTCTATAAAGTCAGGTGGGTTTCCCATGTATTCAGAGAAAAAGTGTTGCCTTCTGTGCAAATCATTCACTTTGAATAATCTCAGGGGTTAAGTCCAAGTCCTAAATGAGACAGTTGCATGGTGTCCTTGAAAGAAGGCTGGCTACAACAGCAGGTAAGATAGCCATTTATACTCATCGGAGTACACTGTCATTGTTAGCGACCCCATGCACAACTGAACCCCATGCAAAACGCTGCCTGGTCCTGCGCCATCCCCATGATTGGCTGTGGGTGGACCAGACTTTTGTCATCCATAGGGTTTGATTTTTGGAACTGGGCAGCCAGGCTTTTCTTCCTAGTCTTAGTCTAGAAGTGTCACTGAAACCTGTTCAGCATCATAGCAATGGTGATGGCTGAGCATGAAGTGCACTGGCCAGAATCCAGCCCAGTTCTCTTGCATGGGAGGTGAGAATTCTACTACTGAATGACCAGTGCCTCCATTGGTGTATAAACAAGTGTTTAATGAACTGAATGGGTAGTCTGTGCAAGGACTGGATAGGCATGAGTGGAGGTGAGGAGAAATGAGGAGTGTAGACATATAAATATGAGGATAGCTCAGTCCCTGTTCTCAAAGAGTTTACAATCTACCATCTACCTGGGGATGGAGGTGGGGAAGAACACTATAATGGGAAAACCACGCAGTCAGAGTGTATAATCCTGAGTGACATAAAAGGGCCTGGCACCTCACCTCACAGATGTCCTTGAGATGCTTGATGTACACCCGCTCTGTGTTCATGATCTCCCGGATCACGTTCGTCCTCATCTGGTGCTTGTTTTCTGCGTGTTTGAGGCGGGTGTGGCCAGCACCCTCATCCTGCTCCTCACCCTGGGTGCTGGTGGAATTCTCCGGCAGCTCTTCCTGATTGACTCGCAACTGTGGGCAACACAAAGGGCAGCTGACTTAGGGGTGAGCCTTGCACAGGGCCAAGCCAGCGAGAAGGCAGCCTTGCCATAGTCTGGAGAGTGCCAGCCAACTCGAGACAGAGCAGAATGGCAAACAGCTAGTTTACCTTAGTTCAATTTTTTACTTCAACCCAATCTAATTCCTTAACACTCTTAGAAAGTTTTATAAGGGCTGCATGTAGGATTAAAAACCATTACATCAGAGTGAGTCTGTAAGGAGTGAGACTGGCCTCACACAACTGCCCATCTCCCCTCCAGTACCGTGGAGAGGGATGACAGCCCCCACTCACCCTGACAAAGCTTGCAGGGAACCAGGCTTCCTTGTCTTCATTCCGGCCCCACCACCAGTCCTTATTGGAGGCCTCTAGGACCTGGATGACATCCCCGGCCTTGAAGCCCAGCTCCTGATCATCCATGGTCACATGGTCCCACAGGGCTTCTGCGCAGACCACATTGCCATCGCTGATGAGCTGAAACAGAAGACACATGGCCGTGCTGAGCAGAATGCAGGGGTTGGCAACACAGTGGAGGAGATGGCATGCGAGCTCTCTCAGGGTCAGAGCTATATCTAGTTCTCATTTGTATACACCTATCCCAGGTGGTGTGAATGGTTTGCCCTCACATGTTAACTGAAAGGTTGGAAGGTTGAGTCTACCTCAGAAGAAAGGCCTGGTGATCTACTTCCAAAAAATCAGCCATTGAAAACTATATGGAGCACAGTTCTACTCTGACACACATGCGGTCACCATCAGTCAAAATCAACTCAACAGCAACTGGTAAATACCTAATAACTGGTTACACAAAATGAACCAAGACCTTGTATGTCATGTAAAAACATACTGGGGCAGACAAAATTAGGAGCATCACTCGTATGGTCTTAAAGGAAGCCCCAAATCTACTTTTTAAAAAACGTATCACTAGCTCACTTATCTGTGATCACTTCTCCAATAAAACTGAATATCTGACTACTGGAACTAGTCCCCTCTCCCCAAAAAATGGTTTCTGAGCAGTCAAACTAGTTGCCACGAAGCCAAGCACCCAAAGGTTATGCACGTACTTTACTGAGAATCCCTGACATCTTCACCCAGAGCTTATCGTCCATACCTTACAAGTGAATAAACATTGTCTCTAATTTTACAGCTCATTGCAAATTGATCATGACATGATCCCTGGATATTTAACAGTTAATTTAAAAAGTAAAAAACAGACACAGTGGTTCAAGAATTACAGCCCCTGGGCCCATCTGTTAGCCTGCCACAGGAGCAACTGGTTCTGCATGTCTCCTTAGCTCCTCACCGGCAACAAGATGTTATACAACAACCAAGGATGTTCATGGGATTCTGATTCGTCGAGAAGTTAGGCTCCACATACGCTCACCAAGATGTCAGAGTCAGAGGTGCCTTCTAGAAAGGTTTCTATAAAAGGGTTAAAGCTACAGTATGGCAGAAAGAACACCCCATTTGTAGTCAGAAAATGTGCAGTTAATTAAGTTCTGCCATTTGCTAGTAAGTAAGTCAATCTCTTGGTCTCAGAGTGTTTATTAAAAGGTAAATAATAATTGTAGCATTTACCTCTTCGATCAGTTGTGAGAATTATAGGAGATGATACAAGTGAAAGCGTTTCATAAACTGAAAAGCACTATCCAAATGCCAACTACTGCTGCTATTATTAATTAAGGGGATACGCTTTAGTTATCTGGAAAATTAAATCACATGGCTTTCCTTTCCAATGTCAGAAAATCATAGTGTTGTTTTAATCAGAGTTCAAGGATTTAGAATATACACACTTGAAAAAAAAATCAGATAGCCAAGTTTGCCTTGATTCTGGATGCTGAAAATCAGGTTACTCATAACTGGGAATACCAGTACCTCGTTGATGGCTAGCTGCTCCCCACCAGGCTGTAAGTAGCGAGGGTTGGCCTGGCAGAGTTCCTCATAGCTGTAGTCCTCCTCACTCCCGTTGTCATCGACTAAGGCAGAAGACTCAGTACCTCCATCTGCAGAAACTAAAACAAGGGGGAGGGCAGGGTTTCAAAGACACAGCTAACAGTCTTTTTAAGCAATGCAATCAATCACCTTGGAGAACATACACACAAGGGTAAGTTACCCAGAAAATTTCTACTGATATTTTAATTCAAAGGTACCAGCTGATGCGAAGAAGAACTGGAATTAGGTGTTAATGTGAAGCGTGAAGTGGAACATTTCAGAGAACATTACTAACTTTATGTACAATGTTAACCAGATACTGAATGAGTGTTCTGTAATTCACTTAGAAATTTATGTTCTGAAGTAGATATAAAAAACAAATATAGACAGCGTTTCCAAGAAATGTGCTGATAAGTCTGATAAGGGGAAAAAACCCAAAAAGTTAACTTCAAAAAAAAAAAAGTCCTACTTCCATCATTTACCTGCAAGGCAATACTACTATTATCAAAATTAAAAGGTCATAATAGTATCCTAAGAGAAAACATGTAATCATTCTTATCATTTATCCATAAATGAAAGGAATGAACACTCGGTATCTGAATTAGGAATTATACAGCACTGTTATGGATTGAACTGTGTCCTCAACAAGTATGTGTGTTGAACTCCTGGTGCCTGTACCTGTTATCCTTTTGGAAACAGGGGTTTCCTTTTGTTGTGTTAATAAGTCACACCAGTGCTGGGTGGATCCTAAACCTAACCGCTTCTGAGTTATAAAAAGACCAGAGTGGACACAGAACACACACACGGGGGAAGACAGACATCATGTGAGGATCACCTACAAGCCAAGGAACAACAAGCCAGCAGTAGTAGGTAACTAAGACAAGCCCCTTTACCAAAAAACAGAGAGAAGGATCTTTTTAAGAATGGGTGGCATTTTGGATTGGCCGCCTTCACATTCAGTGGCTGCTTTTCTTCCTAGGGACTATGGGCGACTCTTCCCAAGGCTAATCAGTCACAGAGCAGAGAGGAGGTTTTTTTTGGACTATTGGCCTCAGCCATCTTGTACAAGCCCAGGGACTTCTCCATCACTAATTTCTCTAACACAACAGCTGCCAGGTGCTGTGTGTGCTAATTGCTGGGGGCACACAAGATAGGAAAGGAGTCCCTAAGGAGTGGAGATTTGGGGAGGGCGTGCATTGGAGGTGGGGTGGAACAAATAAAATCCAAGTATTTATGATTCAAGCCAAAAAGCTGGAAATATAATAAGCAAGGTACAAATCAAGCAGTAGGGGGAATTTTGAAGCAAGAGAACATATTTTTGTGAAGAATACAGGGAAAGGCTTCGTGGAAGAGGAAGCACTGGCTATTCAAGATATCTGAGATAGCCCTTGATTGCGGAAAAAACGTGTTTTAATTTGAAGCACATGGCACAAGTAGACTGGATGGAATCAAAGATGAGACTGCAAAGATAGGATGGGCACACTGTGGAGGGCCTCAAGGATGAATGAGAGCAATGGGCTGCTATGTTGGGGTCGTGAGCACAAGAGTCACAGGTGTTGAATAGAGCGGTCCCTGGATGCTACAGAAGAGAAACGTTTAGGGTCACAGAGGCCTGGGTCTGAATTCCCTCCCTGCCCCTTTGTAGGCACGGGACCTCAAACAGACAACTTCCCTCTCTCTCTGCTCCACTCCCTTCTTGGGAAAACAAGTACTTTCTTTTTGGAGAATTAAATGAGACAACGTGTGGCAAGTTCCTAGCATCCTCGGCCCACAGCTGGGACTCAATAACAGACAGTTATTGTGGTGATGGTGGTAAGCGTAAGCAGAGCTGGGCTGAAGAAAAATGGCTTTACTACAATAGGAAGGAAGGGCAGGGGGTGGGGGGAACCTGGAACCACAGGAACCAGTGGGAAGAAGATGGGTTAGCTGAAGGGAGAGATCATAGGAGCTGTACCAGGGCAGTGGCAATGGGGATGGAAGACAGCAGATTCAAGAAGGCTGTGGAAGGCAAGCTGATGTTTGGAACAAAGAGGGTAAGATCACAGAGGTTTCAATTTCAAGTTACTGGAAGATAAAACCAAAAAAAAAAGGGAAGTCGGGAGGAGCCGGTGTGATGGGACGCATGGTGAAAGGCTGGTTTGAATAAGAGGAGTTCGACACTGCAATGGGACAATCCCCTGTCTGCACTTTTTTTTTTTTTTTTTAAATAATATTTTATTGTGTTTTGGGTGAAAGTCTACACAGCCAATTAGGTTCCCATTTAACAGTTACTACACACATTGTTCAGTGACGTTGGTTACATTTTCCACATGTCAACATTTTTATTAATTCCGTTCTAGATGTTCCATTTCCAGTGCTCTAGTTTTCCTGCAGCCTTACCTCCCATCGTTGCTTTACAGTAATTGTTGACTCTTTGATCTTATATAGGTGACTTTTTAAAGGTGCACAGTACTAGTGGGTGATATTCTTTATTTTGTTGAGTCGAACTGTTATTTAGCTAAAAGGTGAACTCAGGGGATAGTTTAGGTTCAAGGTTTAAAAAGTGTCTCAAGGCGACAGTCTGGGTGAGTTCCTCTAGTCTCAACGGGTCAAGTAAATTTGGACTTTTTAAGAATTTGAGTTCTGTTTCACGTTTTTCTCCTATTCTATCAGGCTGTATCTATTCTGGCCCTAATCAGATGCCCTTCCTTTTTCTCAAAGACTTGGGAATCTAAATTTCTAGTAATTTTATCCTCAGGGAGGAGCCCTGGTGGCACAGTGGTTAAGCACTCGGCTGCTAACCCAAAGGTTGGCGGTTGGAACCCATCAGCCTCTTTGTGGGAGAAAGACCTGGTGATCTTATACTGAATTCTTATACTACAACAGTGAAGAAGATTTTTAAAAGATTTACAATAATGGGTGGTAATAAACACTGAAAATAAGCTATATTAAATATGGATTGAATTGTGCCCCCCAAAATGTGCTGGAATCCTAACCCCTATTCCTGTAGATGTGACCCAGTTTGGAGATAGGGTTTTCTTTGCTATGTGAATGAGGTCATTCAGTGCAGAGAGGGTCCTAAACTAATCACTTCTGAGTTACAAAAAGAGTAATTAGACACAGAGATACACCCGGGGAAGACAGACATCAACTGAGGATCATCTACAAGGAAAGAATCAATGAACTAAGGAACACCCAGGGCTACCGAAAATGAAGAAATTGACATGGCTGAGATCCTGATTTGGACTTTTAGCCTCCAAAACTGTGAGAAAATAAATTTCTGTTCTTTAAAGCCACCACCTTGTGCCATTTATGTTACAGCAACACTAGGTAACTAAGACAATGCATATGACGATGAATTCAAGCCAAGTACACAAAACCAGAAAGGTATACAGACTGTAAATAACCTCACAACAAAACACATACCTACAAAGGCCGTGGGATGTGGTGGGGAGAAGCTATGGACACACAGGTGGATACGGCCTTTCCCAGTCAGGTCCAGCTCACCGCTCAGACCCCTGCTCAGCCACTTTCTCCTCCTCCCACCTCTGTCTTCCAGTTCCCTGACTCTAAAGGAAGCAGTTCTTGGTGATCCCCAGACAAGCTGGGTCTTTTCAGGGGTCTGCACGTGTTCCCCTGTTGCCTGGAGTGCCAAGTGCCCCTCTCCACCTAGGAACGCCCCACACCCATCTGCGGTTATCTCCCCTTCACAGCCCTTCCTGTCACCCCGAGGACAGTGAGTTGCTCCCTCAGTGTTTTCTTCCCAACAACTTCTGCAACAGCACTTGCCATGTTGAGCTTTAATTCATCAGTTTATGTATCTGTGTTCCCAGGTGCGTAAGCACAGCCATCTCCCTAGCACCCAGAACGGTGCATAGAACCCAGCAGACGTTTAGTAAAACGTGAATGGACTGACAACTACTCTACAGCTGCTAAGTTAGGGCTCTGTGCAGGGAAAGCAGCCTTCTGGCCTCTGATCTCTCCTGCCCTAGCTCCCTGTCCCCACCCAGGTATCTCCCTCTGATTCTCAAACTGCCTCATTCAGAAAGGTGAAGGGCTATCTGGGAGTTAGAAATGAAAGTGAGCTGCCTTGGGGATGAAGGTGCTGCTGTGGAGGAATATCTTTCTGGACCTCACCATAAAGCCAAAAGCCAAGAAACCATCTCTGCAGATGCTTGGTACTGCCTTCTGGGCCTGCAGGTTTCTTACTGGGTCACTAAAAAGAGAGCGGGTAGGCTTATCAGGGACAGGACAGAATCTCGCACCATAGCCATTCCAGAGTCCAGGCGAGTGGACTGCAGCGCAGGTGTGCGCATTCCTGAGAACCACCCATTGCTGGGGCCACGCCACATCCCAGCATCGTCCCAGGAGGGCTGCCCTCCAGGAATGTATTGCTGTTGGTGCCACAGATACTTCTGTTACCCAACGCTGGGGGTACGTGGAGATGGCTTGTCTTTCCTGAGTCAGGCTTCCGCTGTCTGAGATTGCAGTATGAATGGTGACTGCTCCTTCTTACATGTAACTTCCGTTTACTATGCTGGGGCTAGGGTGTTCACAAGTGGAGGATGCAAGGCTGTGTGGTCTAGCTCACTTTCCTGGTGTGTGTGTTTGAGGAACAAGGTCTCAAGAAAACAAATATAATTTTTTATTTTTACATGCATGAGCATGTCTTAGGCTACAAAGTAAATGACAACACTCCATCTGAAAGACTTCTCTACCTGAAGTACTCAGAGCTAGCTGCCCAGAACAAGGCACCCAGCAACTACACTGGTAAATGGCTGAAATGTTTTAATGCTCCTGGGTAAGGAGACTGCATACAAACCCTTAGTCTTTCGGGGGGGCCAAGGGTAGCAATCTTCAGATTTCAGCAAGCACTCATCTGGCACTGCCAGGCACAACGGCATTTTTCCTTATCACATTTCAGCAATAGTTGAGCCAAAAGTTGTGAAGCTTGGTAAAATAAAGGCACCTGGGCCTCCTCTCCAGAGCAAAGCCCTGAAAATGACACTTTCTCACTCAAAGAACCACTGAACAGTGTTTTCCCAGAGGAGATTCTTTACCATCTAGATCAGATGGCTATTGCTGTGAAAATCAGTCAAGA